TCTTTTAGTTGTCCAACATTACAGCTGTAGAAAAGGTCTTTATTTTTGCTTCTGGAGAAAAAATTGCTGAGTTTTGAATTTTACTTTTTTATTTTAATTTCAGTGGTTTGAGAGGGATTTTAAAATTATATTTCAAAATGCTTCCTTTAGAGATAAAGAAATATGGAGGTCATTTTGTGTATAATGTCAGACCTTCACCTTTTTCTTCTTAGTGACTTACCTGATAGCAATTGCAATAGCTATCAGGAGAGGTGGGTTAGTGTTTTGGCATTTTCTGGCTTCATAAGTAAAACTCAGTGCCCCATTTCTTTCTGAAGATGGAAAAGCAGTCAGCTTACTAGTGAAACAGTGCTAGCTAGTCAAACCTTCCACTACCACATCTGACTGTGAGGGACCTGAGATAGGACTCCATCAGAAAGAGACTTCACTAACGTCGGCATATGGCTTCCCAGTGAGATGTCAGGCTCTTCTAGAGTCTGAGGTTCAATGAACAGTGTCCAGTTCTGGTCTTCCCAGTTCAGGAAAGACAAGGAATTACTGGAGAGCGTCTAGCAAAGGGCTATGAAGATGATTAGAGAACTGGAGCATCTCCCTTATGAGGAAAGACTAGGGGAGCTGGGCCTGTATAACCTGAAGGAGAGACAACTGTGATGGGATTTTATCATTGCATACAAGTATCTTAAGGGCCGATGTCAAGAGGATGGGGCCTGACTCTTCAGTGGTGCCAGGCAATGGGCAAAAACTGAAACATGGGGAGTTCCATCTGAATGTCAGGAAAAACATCTCTACTGTGAGAGTGTCAGAGCACTGGAACAAGCTGCTGGTTGTGGATTCTTCTTCTCTGGAGATATTCAAAACTTACCCAGTGCAACTTACCTGTGCAACCTGCTCTGCATGAACCTGCCCTAATAGAGGGGATTGGACTAGTTGATTTCCAGATGATTTCTTTCTTCCAATCCCAGCCATTCTGTGATTGTTAACATATCTTAGTAAAACTAGAAGGACTGAGGGATACCTCTATGCAAATATAACTCTGCCTATTAACATCCTGGAAGGCTAATACAGAGTTATTTGAAAGCAGTCAGGTGAAATAATTTTACTAGTTATACTGTGGAGGAGTTTGAGAGTATCCGGAATCATCTAGTCAAAAGCTCTTAGACTCTCTCTCACTGGGAATTTCTCTTTTTAACAGGATCTGTAATATTGTATTGATATACAGATGTTCTCGGTAACTGATCTTTATTTAGAAATTTCAGGTGATCAACAGTACTTATACAAGTAGTCAGCGGTGTGATCAGAAGGGCCCTTGTCAATTAAAAAAAATAAATCTGGAGATAATGATTTGTGGATGTCTCATGCAAACAGAAGGGGGAAGACTGCAAAGATAGATAGATTTATCCAAAAATCTGTTAAAATTGATTCCCTAAGTACCAGTGCTAGGAATTTTGCCTAAGCAAAGAATTGTCAGTGGGCTGGGTCTATGAAAATTGCTCCTCAATATTTTAGAACTTTTTCATTCTTACATAGAAAATAAAAGTATTAACAAATAGGAAGTTAATATAGTGGTAAACTTAATATAGTTTTGTAATTTACAGAGGAGGGAAAGCATGTAGATTATTTCTGATGTATTGAATTCTTGAAATTTAGACTTCTTGATAGGTTAGATGCCCAAACTCACTTGTGCAGCAGGCAGTGTTGATTGAGGTAGGGTTTTTTGGCTCTCATATCTAGGGGCTATTTGCTCAGCAAGTAAAACAATAACACTAAGTCCTTTATTTAAATAGCCATTCACTTTTGTGTCTAGTTGGAATGACTCATGTTCTTTTGAAACGCTAGAGGGCTCACTGACTGCTTTTGGAGCTGCATTTTGCTTTCATTGTATGCCCATAAACCTCCAAATATCTAAAGCTAATATGTTCTAAAGGTGCATTTTCTTAGGAGTAAATTTACTTACTAACCTTGGTGATTTTATTTAAATCTAGGCTTTCTGGAAGAGTTCTTAAAAAACTCTTTGATTAGCTAAAAGAGATGAATTGGATCTCTTGCTCAGTAGATTCTGGTGGGGGTTTTCCTACTGGAATATTTCCTAACTTTTTTTGTTCTTTTGTGGGGGAGGGGATGGGTAGTTTGGGGGGTTTATTTGGTTTTGGGGGGGGGGTTGTTGTTTTGTTTGTGGTTTGTTTTGGGTTTTTTTTAATTACTGTGGGTTGGGGTTTTCTTCTGTCTGCTTGGCTTTATGGATTCACTCATTGTAATTTCCTGAGAAGTAATTAAACAATTATACCTGAGTAGTTACAAAATGAGAGGACATTTTGGAAAAAAACCCCAAATCAGTTGTTCACTAGCACACAATAATAAGTATTATTAGAGGGTTGTGTCTACTGTCTTCCTGTCTTATTACCTAGGGGTTTCTATTACCAAATCACACGTGCATTTAAGATACAATACGATTGACACATCAATCCATTGGGAAAAACTAAAGGCAACTGAGTGCATATAAGACGTCTTGTGGCATCATACATTTCGTGACTGTTGTGACTAGACTGAACTGGGTCTGGAGCTGTTCCTGCCTTTCCCGCTTGGTAACTCTGATTCTCGGGAAAATCTGACTTGAGGATCAGACGGGACAAAAATGATCCTCAGAACAAAAATTTCACTTGCAAAAGTTTCTGTTTCCTGAACTGACTCGGTATGGAAATATGTGAGCACTGCATTTCTTATGCAAGAGAAGGAGCATGGATGTGCTAGGTGAAAAAGGAAAGAAAAGGGGAAGGATCACTGCAGTACTGTCTTGAGCAATTTTAATTCTGTTATAATACTGCATCATTAGACACTTTGATTCAGGCCACTTAATTACAAGTTTAGTTTTAAAAAAGCCCTTTTGTGTGGTGTCCTTGATTGAGATTAAACAAATGAAAAGATTCTGACATGATTTCATGAGAAAATAAGCTTGTACAAAGCATAGGATTCAACCTCCTGAAATCTTTGAGAATTTAAAGCTGAGCTTGGAGGTCTGGCACATGATGGCAGGGCAGAATAAGTCTTTCTCATATAATAGACAAAATTACCAGAAAATTTCAATCGGTGAAGTAGAAAATATGCTGTGGACAAATGGTTGGTTTCATGTAGTCTTGATTCTTGTAACCAGGAATTGGGAATGCCTCACAGAAATAGTCTGCCACTTGGCTGCCTATTATCAGTTCTGCATTGGGACAAAAAGCCCCATCCTTGGAGAGCTCCTAAGCCACTGTGGAATGAAGTCAAGCAATGGACACTGCTCCTGCCATCTAGCATATTGGTGCCATCCATTGCCTGAGACCATTCCCTTGGGCCTCTTGCTGCCTTTCAGCTGAGATCTGACACCAGGCTAACCTTGTGGTTGAAAATGTTCGTGTATTAAATGCAGTTGCCAATTTTTGTGTTTGTAACACCGGGCCTGTAAGGGGTGTAGCCTAGATTAACATAGATGAATTTTCCTGCAGGATAGATGTGCATTTATGAGTCCATAAATAGCAAAGAAATGTTTATTCTCATAAGTATAGCGTTACTCTAGAAAATCTGTTGTCATCTATTATAGTATGGCTTAATGCAGATTTTTAATTGACATAATTTCTCTGTGATTTGAGCAAAGGAAAGAGGAAAGGAGAAAGTGCAGGATTACTATTATCAGCATGTCCCAAGGCTGCTGCTTTTAAATTTAGGATTATAACTGTTACTTAACAGAATTATCCTTGACACACATGGCCTCAAGAAGAGGTCTGAAAGCAAGGGCAGAACAGTGTTGTCAGCTGACAGCCTGAAGCAGTATTTCTGAAAAGGTCTGAAATTGTCACTTTTTGTCTAGAAGATGACCTCTGGCATTCCCAACACTGCTCTGCCTCGTGGAAGAGGGGAAGAGGGACAAAAAGGAGGCAAAATCTTTTTTTTCTGTTATGCAAAATCAGGCTACTTGTGGTGCTACTTCTTTAAATAAAACTCTTCCTGGGCAGGTGTTAAGGGTGGTGGTTGGTAATGGGAGGTGTTAGACCCACTGGAGTGGCAGTGGTTCATCACCAGGCCTGCAGAGCTGTATGCATTGTTCTCACATTGTTCTTTGAGGAGGAACAGGTAGGATCCTAGCAATGCACCTGGACCACCCTGGAAAAGGACAGTTTGGGCCAGGTGTGTCTGGTGGTGGTGGTGGTGGTAAAGAGTGTGAAGTCATCTTGAGTCAACCCACTACCCTGGCTTCTGATGTGGGTGCCCTCTGCTCTTACTGCAGTGCTGCTGTTCTGGGCTCCCGAGGCTGTTTCCCAAAGCAGTATATATTTGTGGTACACCTCTTTTTATGCAAAACATGCTTTTGTAGTGATAAGTTTAATTTGTAAAAGTTTTACCATTTGTGCAAAATGGCATACGAAAGTAGCTACAGAGGAATTCATAGTAACAAAAAGATTATATCATAATAACCTACCACGAAATCTTTCCTAGGTGTTCTGTCTAGCCACTTTAGCTTTATTTTACTGTTATTAGCCATATTGAGCTTGAGCCAGCTGGTTTTATGCAAGCAAGTCTCTGTCAGAATCTGAAAACTACTGTGAGCTTAATTTTGACCTTAAAAATTCCTCCTCCAGGAGAAAAAAAAGCTTTTTTAAAAATATTAGTTCCCTCAGTTTCAGAGGTGCGTGCTTAAGAGAAATAAAATTTTAATTGAATTGATATATGACACAATGAATTCCCTTCCTAAAAAGCTAATTATTTCTTGACTGTCTTGACCATAAGCTTGCAGATAACAGTAGAAGTGGACAGTCATGGAATTCTTATAGTAACCATCCCACTGCCCCCTGGAAAACAGTGCCACTGTTATTCTGTACTGAGTATTTCGTAGTTATAGTGCATACAACAGGAATTTGGTTAAGAATTGAATTAAATGTGTTTAATACTGAGAATATTCTCAAGTTGGTATTTGCTGTGGCTTCTTGCTAAATCAACATTATAATCCTGCTTTCGTTTCCCTACAGATGATGAAGCATGCCTGGGATAATTATAAGCGTTACGCATGGGGATTAAATGAACTGAAACCCATATCTAAGCAAGGACATTCAAGCAATTTATTTGGTGAGTAGAGTGTATTTTTGTGCTTAGTGACGTTAGCATAAAACAGTAAATCAGCTGAAAAGCTTATAGGTGATAAACATGTTTTCTTTCTGCTCTCTGTCATGCAGCATGATGTTTGTTGCTTTTGTTATGTATAAAAAATAACAGTAAATGAGGATGATGCTTTCTGTGACTTTTATAGATTCCTATCTGAATGAGAATCAATGGAGCATGGCATTGCTGCATGATAAAGATATGGTTTTGTTGCATTAAATACTGCCCTGTCTTAAACTTTTCATGTGGAGTGGAACTCATTGACGCCACATTCAATAAGCAGGGAACAAAAACTCTAAGAAAGAAATCCTGTGCAAGGAGCAAACGGTGCTCTCTACAGTCCTGAAGGTGGCCGAAGCTGTCTGCAGTTTTCAGGAATTTATTTCCATCCCTTAAAAAAACCTTGTTAATCTATATCAGTCAGATTCCTTTACCAGGCTTTCTCTTTCATTAATATAACCATTATTTGCTCCTCTAAGTGTTGTACAGCTAATGCTAAATAACACCCAAGTTGTTATCAGTGTAGAACAAATATGGGGCTGAAAAGTTCTAGTAGGAGAGGCACAAAAATCACTGCAGAAATCCACTGTAAAGAGACAAGACTTTTCCAGTGTGGGACATATGACTGGATAAATATCTGGAGAGCATCAGCATTCTGAGGAAGCGTAAGAAAGCAGTCCCCTGAAGTGTCATCATCAGTTTTGCAGAAAAATGAAGAATTAAACTGTTTAACATCAATTTTTGTATTCAAATGGCTTCTGTTTTCCAAACAGAAAGCTGAAAAATTAACAAATTTCTATAACTGAGACAAAATCAATACATAATTTTGATTTTAACAAGAATTAACTTTGTTGAATTTTTTGAAAAGATAGTTTGAAGTAGAAACATTTCCTGAAACGATCTAAATAGAGCACTTATCAAATCCTCAACTATATTTGGCAGTTGTGATTACAAAAATTATTTTGAAAATGCAACATCTATATTGATCTTGCTGCACAGCTTGTCTACCCGAGATAACATCAAATCTGCTACAAAGTAATTATTATCTAGTTAGTTATTGGACTTCAGACCTGAATTGAGTGCTTGAAACCAGAATACTGTGGGAGAACTTCAGGGTTCAGTCATGCTTCTGTTTCCTTCTGTTTTCTTAAATTAACTAAAATTATTTATTTTCTTCAGGTGACTTGTGCAGTTTAAATCACTTGAGGAACTATTTAATGCAATCTTGTTTTCTTGGAGGACAACAAAATGGCACATAATTTCCTGAAAATTGTAACACTTAATGTAGTTTCAGTTGGAATCAGAAGTGGTATAAAAATTTCTAAGGTTCGATAATATTGCATGGAATCACAGAAAAAGCTGTAGATGTATTGACTTGTGAAATTCTTAAGCAGGATTTCTGTGAATGTTGTATCAGTTTAAGTCACTGCAGGCACAATTCACTGTGAAAGTAAAACTGCACTTAAAGTAGTAAGAGCCAGTCAGTCTAAATGCAGATCACTTTCTCGTCACGGTCATCTAGTATAAGATCTTATTGCTGAGGAGTTTTCCTTAGAAACATCTTCACTCTTATTGATCTTGGTGGCAAATCAAAATGAGCAAGCAGGTCTCTTTCTGCTGAATAACTTTACAGAATACCAAAGAGCAGCATATCTGCAAGCAGGTCTGTCTCATAAGTACCCTTTCCCAAATCCATAATTTCCTTTTGTTTTTAGAAACAAAATCTCATTTCTCTGAGTTTCCTGGGATGATTGGATCTGATCTGTACCTTCATGTTTGAATTCAACAAATAGAATACCTTCTTTTTCATAAAACAATAAGAGAAAAGGGTGATCAGTTTGCATTTTGGTTTTTTTCATTCTGAAAGGACAGACAGGTTTCCTTATCTCCCTTGTTTCTGTTTCTTATTAAAAAAAAAAAAAAGAGAGAGATTACAAATGGTTTACTACTTTTAAGGTAATTCTGAATTGAATTATTTGAGAATAAGTTCAGCTCTGTGTCCTGTGAATTTCCTCATAATCTTCAGAAATCAAGACCTTCAGTTCACTGTCATATGTCATAACTATCTCCAATTTGTCATGATTGTCTTGCTACCAGGTCTCAATTTTTCAAAAATACAAGTTTCTGATTGTCTTAGTAAGATAGAGCATATTTCATTATCCAGCTGTTTATTTTTAAACACCTCTCCTTCTATGAATTAATTGCTGCAGTTATGTTGCTTTGCATATAACAGGAGTGCCTGTTATGGGACAGAGACTTTTAGTACCTCACTGTGAGGAACGGCAGATTCCAGTGCTGTGTGATGCTTTATGTTGCATATGTTGCAAGTACAGCTCTCCTGGCACAGAAGGGGAGAGTTGTTTTCAAATGATACTGCTTCTAAGCTTATTGTTGAAAGTATAAATGCATCGCTCCTTTCTGTAATGATAAGCCATTTTGTAGATGGATTGTAACAATGATTGTGTCTTGAAGGCAAGTCATGATGTGTTCCTCTGAAATACAAAAATAAGATGACTTTTGAGAGGTGTAATTAAACATAGATGTACCGTCATGAATTTGGCAACTATACTAACACTGTACTTCGGCTAGGAAAAGAGGAAAATGGCCAGTGGGATGTTGATGGGACAAAGGATAGGGACAACTGGTGGTTCTGATCTTGGGGGAAGAAAAAGAACCCTTCTTTACCACTCCATACAAATTAATAATAGTAGAGCTATTCTGTAGCTGAGAACTTCTTGTTGAACCTGGAAATGACATTTTATTTGTCCTAGTCCCTGGCTGTGAAAACAACTTTTGAAGACAAGGACCTGCCTTGATCTTGCTGGTAATCTGCGAGCAGTGTGTGTGGAGGGTGTATTTGATAAGTTGAGAGAGTCTTTGGACTGGTAGAGTGTAGATATATTCATGTTATGAGCAGAAGTTGTCTCATGTGTTCACACTAAGAATTATATACCTTCAGAGAAACACGGAAACATATGTAAACTGAAACATTTCTCTTTGAAGCCAAAGCCACATACATGCCTATGACCATTGCAATGTCTTTTCAGCACATCCATATACTGTTTTTATTTCCTTTTTATTTGCCACATTGGCTCTTACCATGTTGTAACAACCCTTTGAAAAAGCAGAAACAAAAAATCATTAGTTATTGTCTCTGTATCGTACTTATTAGTTAAATTCCATGAAGCATACAACTATTTCTAGGTTAATCAAATAAATTGGAATAGCTTAGCACCTCTTTGCACCTTACCTGTGCATCAGCAAAACAGGGCATGTCTCCTATGCTGCTATGGCTTCTGCTGTAAGTACTAATCATTCTCTGAATATACCCAGTAGAAAATAGGCCCTGAGTAAATGCTGTTAATTTTTATTACTTTAACCTTGAAAGTTTCAGATTACTGTTAACAATGATTCCTAAAGTAGACATTTATTAATCTACCTTCCTAGTGTGAAAGTGGTGAAATCACAATTTTGCCAATTTTTTTCACAGCACTCTACCACTAGCCCCTAGCCCAGGAGCTATTCCTTTCCAGACCTTCTGTATTAATTTTAAAACTAATGAGTGTTGCTGCACTAACAAAGAGCTCTTTCTAGAAGTGTTTTCTGCACTTAAGTGACTGTTACTGAAGGGCTTTTTTAATTGTCTGTAACTGTGTTTCATGTGCAGTATTGCCAGTTTAATAATATTGTAACTTGTGGGCATAGTAAAATTAGTCTCTGCAAGGGAAAAAGGACCTTTTCTGGAGGGGAAAAGGAAGGCATTTAATAAATACAATCTGCAAAGCCAAAGTCCTGCTTCTCCCAATTTGAAGTGGTTCTTTTGTAGTTTCTGTTATGGAGCATTGAGGTGTATGAAGATTTTTAAAGCCTGCCAAAAGTTATATTCAAAACTGTCTTGCAATGTATAACAGTGTGTATCTTTAGACTGTAATATAGCTCTAGACAATTAATTGTGCTTCAACACCTTCCCCCCACCCCAATCTTCACTGTTCCTACTGGATTCCTTGAAATTTTGTATTTTGATATGTGGTCTTAATTTTGGAAGTAAGCCTGCCATCTATCTCAACTAAATTAATAGAAACTTGTGTAAAGAATAACATTAGCAGATATGTGGATAAATGACTCAACACAGCATTTGTGAGAAGAGATCAAGTTGCTTGACAAAGATGCATTTATTGTCTTTTTAGATTTTCAGAAGGCATTTTTCAGACTTATTTCTAGCCTCTCACAGGGATCTGTAGCTGCTGAGGTCACATTCTCAAATTTAACTAATTTAATTTCACAGTACTGAAAAATCAAATGACCAGAGTGAAGTTTGACAGTGCAAATAAGTTACTTGGGGTAGCTTTACCAAAGGCAAACTGCAAGCAGTTACAGAAACCCATAAGGATTCCCCAACAGATGATAACTGCACTTAGAAATAGCAAATGAGAACTAACATTCCTAATTTTAACTGGCACTTAGTGAAATGGGAGATATAATTCTAAGTTAATACATGGAAGTGGAACACTTGAACTCATAGTAAGTGGTAAAGGTTAAAAACTTTCCAGAACAATATTTGGAAGTCCATAAAAAGTGGCATAGATGGGATGAAAAAGGATTTATTGTTCCTTGTGGGGAATGATACCCTTTGTAAGGGGTGGAAATACCAAATCACTGGGAGGCATGTTCAAACAAAAGAAGGTAGTCCATAACAAAATGTGGCTGAGCTGCATGGGTACCATGCATGGGTAGATGCCAAAAGCTTCCACAGAAAACAGAGAGATTAGCTATGAAGGAAAAATTAATCAAGCTCTATCAAATACAAAGATATTAGAGCTGGCTCTCAAATACAGAAATGTATAAAATACTGGAGATTAGAAGAGTGTTCTAGAAATAGCACAGTATTGTTTCATGTTACACATGGAAAGCTAGATCTGTCGAAAATTGAACTTATTGTTTCTTTTCCCACTCTTACCAGCTGGTAA